TGAATTGTTGTTAATCCATGAGTAAAACAATGCATAATAGAGGTTTAAGATGTTATTTTGGTATAAAATCGGGTCTATGGTGATAGGGGTTTGTGGTATAGGATTTGGTGTGAAATTTTGGGGTGAAAGTGCTTTAAAAAAAAAGTGATTTTTGGGGTTCGGAACAGTATGAGTCAACTCATAGGTACCCTTGGGTCGACTGTAGCCACCTGAATGCAAAATTGAGGAAATTTTAACACTACGCGCCGACTCATAGCTCTATGCATCGACTCATAGCTCTGTGCGTCGACCTTTGAGTCGACTCATAGGCAGAAAAACGCCAGAAACAGTTTCGGTCCTAACTTTTTAACCTTTAATCTAAATGATGAACCGTCCAAAACGTTGGAAATTTAATGAGCCAAAATTTAACATGGTATAATTATATGAATCATTTTCCTTATATTTTTATGTCTAATATCTTGAATAATTTGATTGTTTCTTGTTGTGTACCTTAAGAAGTTGTGGTGTAAGTCACGAACCTTGAGTGTTGTTGCAAAGATGTTTAATGATGTTGTTGTGATGTTAATGATAGTAATATGAAGTTTTTTGATGATGTTGTTATGATGTTTTAATGATGTTGTTGTGATGTTTGATGGTGTTGTTGTGATGTTAATGATGGTAATATGGAGATGCTTTAATGATGTCTTTAGTGTAATATAAGCATGTTTAATAATGTTGTTGTGAATCCAAAATAAATACATGTATATGTCCATATTGTTTGAAATATAATTTGATGCTTGTTGGCCAAATTGGATAGTGTACAATAACCATGGTGGTGGGTTATTGTGCACGATGATGTTATCGTTGTCGTATGCATAAATAGCCGCATTGCGTACCTTTGTGAACATGAGTATGACATTTTCTTATTTGACGTGAATGAAGGTTATGTTATGATGTGGTGTGGTATAAAGCATTATTTCAAATGTGATATTGTTGAGTTGTGGTGATTGCATAAAAAGATATATATGTTGCATGAACTATATGTTAAGCTTGTTGGCCAATTTGGGCAGTGTACAATAACCATGGTGGTGGGTTATTGTACACGATAGTGTTGGTGTTGTTGTATGCATAAATAGTTGCATTGCATACATTTGTGGACAGATGGTCCATTATTGGTGAGCCTAAAATCCCATTGTACGGATTGGGGCTGGTAGCTGATTCGGAGGTGATGGATCAGTGAGTGGCTCTGATCCTAGGAGATGGGGATCAGAATGATGAACCTGAGTGTTCACGAAATTTGATACCACATGCATATGCATTGAGTCGGGTGTGAGCCTCATTTCATTATATGTCATCTATGTTTCTAAGTTGTTAAATACGTAGTGATGGGTGATTAATTTTTTTTGTATCGTGTGATTACTGTTTGTTTGGTGAGTAATTGGTGATGATATCGTTGGATGATTGATGTGAGATGTTAGTTGAATTGTTGTTGAGCTAACTTAATGCATGTTGTTTAACATGCTTTCCTTTATATTATCATGATATCTCACCCCTTTTGTTTGAATATTGCCTCAACATGGGTAATGTGCAGGCAATTTGCAGTAGGAACTCAGATGTGAGTGGAAGATAAAGTCTTTTGTTTATTCTTTTAGTTTGACGTCTGTTCTGATATTTAACACTGGGGTTATGGAACGTTGCGTGCTTTTTATCGCTGGTGGTTAATTAACATTTTTTATTTCTTATGACTGTTGTTTCTTTATGACATTATTAATGATGTTATGCCTCGAGTTGTTAACTGGAATGATTAAATGTTATTTCTGCTGCTATATGAATTAACCTTCAGTTATGTTTTGTTGATCATGTTATTGTAAATAATTGTTAAAAGGACACGTGTTACGTATCTGATTGAATATGTAAGTGATTGTTTGAAAGTGTGACATTCCTAAATATGAATTTGATTACTCTGACTTTATTTACATTACGCAGGGACCATTTAGGGTGTTACAATCATTGTGTGTCAAGTGAATGATGTGTAGCAGCTACTATGCTACTGATATGCACTATTGCTACTCTGACTTCTGCTACTGATGTATGCTCTATTAGATGTTCTTCTGTTGTTGCTGATGTTTGTTCTGAGTACGAGATTCTTTTGATACTCGGTTATGTTTATGCTTGAAAAGTTTTACCAAAATATTTATCAAAGTGGAGATTGTCGTTCCTTTTGAATTTTCTACATTATGGAAAATAATATGGAGTATGTTCAATCCATTCTGGTGCAGAAGGGACACATGTTGAACATGATGTTCCAACATGTGTGCTGCAACATCTAGTATTTGACAGCAGACAAATGTTATTCTAGTACTAGTTCAAATTAATTTAATCCAAGATTCACTATACAAAGAAGATTTATAATACATGAAAAGAGTTAATTTGGACGTTCTAGTGAAACATGTGGAACATGATGTTCTAGCATGTGTGTAGTGCAACATCTGACCCGTGTCAGCAGGCCATGATAGATGTTGTTAGGTGCGAAATTTCTAATTGAGATTGAATCAAATTTACTGCAGATTATTTAACAATGTTTGTGTGATTTTCTTGAAAGTCAATAAAGATCAAATCAGATTTAAATGAAGATTTAAATTTGAATTTGAAATATAACAAATCATATCTTTTGTTGGAGATTTTATGGAGAAAATCAAATCTAACATATTCAGTTATTATTCTGGACGAAATTAAATTAAAAATCCAAAGGAGAAAAGCCCAAAATGAATTGCTACTTAAGGAAACTCAAATCTCATGTTCGAAACGAGTTTTGTGCACTAGGGTTAAGTTCTTTGTGCTTGGGTTTTCGAGTCTTTTGTAACTTGTATTCCATGATAATGTTATCACTCATATCATAAGGATTAGTGTTGGATTTTATTATGTATACACCACACAATTGCTTCAATAACTTGGCACGTTCGTTGGTTTGCCTTAGTTGAGTTGTAAATTCAACATTCAATATTGTTGTTATTGAAGTTAAGCACCTGAGATTAGTGATTGAGATAAAGTAGAGGCGTTCTCATATTTAGGAGGGTCTTAAATGGAAAGTCATTAGGATTAGGAAGAGACATTGAACATCTTGAGGTTGGGGTTCCTCTAAGACTAATTGTACTAATTTAAACAGGGTTCCTCTAAAACATCATGAGGTTGAGTGTCCTTTAGACGTAGGTGTGGTTTCACCAAACAGGATTACCAATCTCTTGTGTAATTTTATTTCTTTCTGCATTATATTATTACTGCTATTATATTGTTATCTTACTAGTGTAACAAGTTGGACCAGTTGTCCCAACATCGCGTCTAACATCTATCCCCTTAGGAACAAAATTTTAAACTATAACAATAATAACGACAAGGATAACAACAACAACATCACTGATATAATAATGGAGAAAGTTTTACATACCGAAAACATGATGAGAGAGTCAAATAAATATGTTGGTTTGAGGTTCGAGTTTCCTTATTTGAGCTTCCTTCCTCATTTGTTTACTTCGGTCGACTTAGAGAAGATGAAGAATAGTGTTTCAGTTTGTTAGGTGGAGAAGATTAAAAATGGTGTTTCGTTCGTTAGATGGAGTAGATGAAGAATGGTGTTTTGTTTGTTTGCTAGAGCGAAAAAAGATTTTGAGAAAAAATGCAAAAGTGAATAAGACTTAACATTCTGATGGCTTTCTTAAAAACCATGGGAAAGATGATTTAACATTAAATAAAGTATTAAGTAATATTTCATGCTGGCTTTCTTAAAAACCATGGGAAAGATGATTTATAAAATAAGTGCGCCATTTTAGTTCTAAATAAAGTACGAAATTGCAGTAACTGAAAATCGAAGCTCAGACTCTAAGCTATATTTTCTATCAGTTTGCTAAAAAACGAGGGATAAGATTTAATTTTTAAAAAAAATAAAAATGGCGCGTTCCAGGATGTTTGACCTCAATTTTTAATTGGTCGAGATGAAATTTTTTTCATAAAATATATTATTTGTAGTAGTGTATACATAAACAGCAGAAACCAGAGCAGCAACAACACATATCAGTAGCATAGTAGTTGTTACACATCATTAAGTTAACACATAATGATGCTTGCATAAATAATTAGCATGCAATCATTCATGATAGGTTAGTCATACATGCACACACAATTAGTAGTCAGTAATTAAAATGTCAGAAACTACTACTAACACATAAACACTGTCACACAAGGTTGAGGGCCAAATATCAATCTAAATGCTTCAACATGTGTGCACTTCTTCAGAACATCAATTAGTACTAATCAAAACATCGATCAGTACTAAGTAAGTACGTCGAGATATATTAATTAAACATAACATACATTAGCAGCAGAAGTCAAAGGATTAGTAGCGCATATTAGTAGCATAGCAGTTGCTGCACATCAGTCAATTCACTAGATTTTATTCTAACACATATTGATGATGGAATAAAATATTGAGAAAAAACAATTAAGGTACAAATAGAGTTCTATTTAATTAAATAAAATAATACTAATTAGCCTTTATTTTTAGTTAGTTAGTATATTATTATTTTTAGTTTGTTATAACTTTTTTTAGTTTGTTGCAACTAATAGATAATTAATTTGTTACTTAGACCATTGTATATATAAGAGAGTTATAGCCTTGTAATAATTCAATTCAAATTTAATAAGAAAAATTTATTCTTAATTATGTTTTATCCCATGTACTATTCTTAGCAAATAATGCATTTGGTAGTATAAAAAAAATTACCCCATGCCATCATTTTCTTATCCTAAGATGCTGACTATTGGGCTTTAAGAAAATCTTATCAAGAAATAATCATGTCGACGAAAATGTTACCAATCATTATAGAAAATAATTATATGGATCTGAGATAATGACATAGAAAGAAAGCACAACCACTCACTAGTTTAAAGATGAGATCCACTTGGATTCTTCAAAGTCCTTATTAACCTTGTTACTTCATCCAAACCAAAACAATTCATTTGTAAACATGTCTTATGCTACTATAGTCTCTTTCCTTCTCTTCACTTTCACATTCACATATCTTTCATTCAATTTTTTCTTACATCCAAAACAAAAACACAAGAAGCCACCAGGTCCATCAACATTGCCAATAATCGGAAACCTTCACCTGTTAGGCAAACTTCCACATCGAACACTTCAATCACTCTCCAAAAAATATGGTCCAATCATGTCCATGCAACTTGGTCAAGTCCCAACTGTTGTCATTTCATCTTCAAAAGCGGCAGAGTTATTCCTCAAAACACACGACATTGTTTTCGCAAACCGACCAAATATTCAGGCGTCTAAACTCATGTCTTACGGTTCCAAAGGGGTAGGGTTTACTGAATATGGTCCTTATTGGCGTAGTATGAAGAAACTTTGCACTTTGAAGCTTCTTAGTGCTTCCAAAGTTGACATGTTTGCTCCTATAAGAAAACATGAGTTGGATGTTTTGGTTAAATCATTGAAGAAAGCTGCTTTGGTGGGTGAGGTTGTGAATGTTAGTGAGGCTGTTGAGACTTCGATTGAAGATATTATGTATAAGATGATATTGGGAAGAAGTAAGTATGAACAATTTGACCTGAAGAGGCTGGCTAAACAAGCAATGCATTTAATGGGAGCTTTTAATGTAGCTGATTATGTTACTTGGTTGGGCCTTTTGGATCTTCAGGTATGTATGTGTGTTAAACTTTTCTCTTCTTCTTTACAAATTTGTTGCTTTTTATACTAGTAGTACATTTTGTTATGAATGTTACTTTGGAGCTATCTCACAATTATGAATTTACATCATTAATTTTTATATTTTCTGCTAACAATTTACAAACATTTCTCTTCAAAAACAAAAGGGAATAACACGAGCTTGCAAGAAAACAAGTAGAGAACTTGATGAAGTGTTGGAGGTGATAATAACAGACCATGAAAATGCTACTAATGTAGACCAACCTCATCGTGAAGACTTTGTAGACATACTTCTTTCAACAATGCATCAAAATGTTGATTTAGAAAATGAACAAAATCATGTCACCAATCGTACTAACATCAAAGCAGTTTTAGTAGACATGATTTTAGCCGGAATTGATACTTCTTCAACCGTAATTGAGTGGCTGTTATCTGAGCTTTTAAGGAATCCAAGAGTCATGAAAAATCTTCAAGATGAAATACAAAATGAGGTAGGATTTATGAGAATGGTTGAAGAAAAAGATTTGAAGAAGTTTAGTTACTTAGATATGGTTGTTGATGAGATATTAAGACTATATCCAGTTGGACCTTTGTTAATTCCTCGTGAATGTATAGAGAATATAACAGTTGATGGTTACTTTATAAGGGAAAAAACACGAGTTATAGTAAATGCATGGGCAATAGGGAGAGATCATGATGTGTGGTCACAAAATGCAGAAGAATTTTATCCTGAAAGATTTATTGACAAGAAAATGAATTTTTATGGACAAGAATTTGAGTGTATACCATTTGGTTCTGGTCGGAGACGTTGTCCTGGAATTCATTTGGGATTGGTTACGGTCAAATTGGCTATAGCTCAATTGGTGCATTGTTTTGATTGGAAACTTCCCCATAATATTACTCCTTCCGATTTGAACATGGAAGAGAAATTTGGACTCAGTATACCTAGAGCTCAACACTTGTTCGCAATACCGAGTTATCGATTGGCAAGTGATGAGGAATTTGAATAGTTTCAAGTAGGACAACTAAATGTCATCATGAAATAAGTTACTTCAAATTATGAGTAATTGAATGCATTTTGAGGTTAAACAACTTAATAGTTAATTGCTATGGGAATAAAAGCTTATCATTTATGTCTTAATTATGCATATGTTATTGTAATAATTAAAAAGATAATGCATTCGAATTCGTCTTCCTACTGTTGCGTCAAAAGCATCCCTTGCAGAATATCCAACAGTTCCACAAGCTGCTTCAAACCTGCCTTGGATAAAATTGTTGCATTAACATGTAAGTTTCAGTCCCACTTTTAATCAGTCCAGAACCCTATATTTTCTACCTTCGTCAAATGTAAATCAGCACACTGAAAAAGATCCGAATAAACACTTGCTAACACCTCCTTACCCCTCAAGCAACCAATAATAATGCATAAGTTAGACCAAATCCCATATCCTAGGATCAACATGTGGTCAAGAAACTGAAGAATCTTAAACGGTATGTCCTCGTTTATTCTAAAAGGATGGAAATCTCCCTCAAGATGAAATTGTTTACTAAACCATTTCATGATTATTGTAGATCACCAAAGAGTTTTTTCATTTTAGTAGGAGATATCTATCATGTCTTTAAAGAAAAAAAACACTTGAAAAAGTTCTAGACATTTCAACAAAACATTACAATTCTCTTGAAAAGATTGTAAAACTCTTAGAATTGATTTTTTCTTTAAGAATGAAGTTTCAAAATTCTCTAAACAAAGTGAAACATTCAAAGTTCATGTCTTTAAAATTTTGTGTATATCTCATTTCTAGGTTTTTTTTATGTCACATGTCAACTTTAAAATCAATAATAACAGTACAAAAATGAAACAAAGACGGAGTAAAAGACAAGACAAGGCATTTAACAGATGAGTTCATTCTACTGAACATTGGTCATTAACACATTGAAAACAATCAAAATTCATTAACTTATTTTAGACTGACTTCATTAATAGATCTACAATGTGGCATCATTATCTGGAGATATTTTATTGAATGCGAATACAGTCTATTCTTAGATTTATTCAAGCTCGACGTCAACCAAACGATATTTCGGTATTGCGTGCAAATGTTGAGCTCTTGGTGCTGAGAGTCCAAATGTCTCCTCCATGTTCAAATTAGAAGGACTTATATCATTTGGAAGTTCCCAATTAAAACAATGCACCAGTTGTGCGATAACGAATTTAACAGTAGTTAAACCCATTTGAATTCCAGGACAACCCCTCCGACCAGAACCAAATGGTATTGATTCAAACTCTTTTCCTTGGTAATTCATTTTCTTATCAATGAATCTCTCTGGATAGAATTCTTCAACATTATTGGACCAAACATTAGGATCTCTTCCTATTGCCCATGCATTTATTATGACTCGTGTTTTTTCTTTTATAAAATAACCCTCGATTGTTATGTCCTCTCTAGATTCACGAGGGATTAGTAAGGGTCCAACAGAATGAAGTCTTAAGGATTCATCAATCACCATATCTAAGTAATTAAACTTTTTCACATCCTTCTCTTCAACCATTCTTTTATTTCCCACTTCATTTTGTATTTCATCTTGCAAGATTTTCATGATTCTTGGATGCCTGATAAGTTCAGTTAAAGTCCACTCAATCGCAGAAGAAGATGTATCAAGGGTTGCCATTAACAAGTCGAGTAAAATAGCCTTAATATTAGATCGACCAATGGCATCTTTTAATTCACTCTCCTGATCAATAGTTTGGTTTACAATTGATAGAAGTATGTCTACGAAATCTTCGTGACGATTTTTGTCAACATTAGCAACTTGTTCATGGTCTGTTATTATCACCTCTAGTGCATCATCAATTGCTTTACCGGCTTTCTTGCACCCTCGTTTTAATCCCTAAAAATGAGTTAAATAAATAAAATCAATCACAAAATAAATATTTTAATCAACTCAACATAATCATACATGTAAAGACATACATACCTGAAGATCGAATGCAACGAGCCAAGGAACAAAATCAGCTAGATTAAAAGCTCCAAGCAAAGCCACTGATTCTTTAACCAATATCTTGATGTCAAATTGCTCATACTTACTCCTACCCAACATCATCTTATACACAATATCCTCTATAAGATTTTCTACAGCCTCACTAACATTCACAACCTCACCCACCAAAGCAGCTTTCTCCAAAGATTTAACCAAGACACCCAACTCTTGTTTTCTAATAGGAGCGAACATCTCAACTTTGGAAGCACTAAGAAGTTTCAAAGTGACAAGTTTCCTTACATTACGCCAATAAGGACCATATTCAGAAAAGGCGAACCCTTTGGAACCGTAAGACAGGATATCAGTTGCTTGAGTCTTTGGTCTGCTTGCAAAAACTAAGTCATGAGTTTTGAGGAATAGCTCTGCTGATTTTGAAGATGAAATGACAACAGCTGGTACTTGACCAAGTTGCATGGACATGATTGGACCATATTTTTTGGAGAGTGATTCAAGTGCTCGGTGTGGAAGTTTGCCTAACAGGTGAAGGTTTCCGATGATTGGTAGAGCTGGTGGACCTGGTGGCTTTTTGTGTTTTGGATTAGAGAAGAATGTGAATAAAAAGTATGTGAAAGTGATGAAAAGGAAAGCGAGAACAGTTATTGCTGCAGAAGACATATCTCTAAGATGGAATGGTTTTCTTATCTCTAAACTAGTCATGTGTTTCTGGATTTATAGTTAAATCTCCAAAGGGCGTCAAAAGATTCCGTCATTATTATAGTTTAGCCAACCTCGTTTTTTATTTTATTTTTTTTCTATATTTTCATAATTAGTCAAACAAAATGCACAAATTATTGACAATTAATAAAACCCCCTGTTGTCAAATTATATTATGAACCCTTGGAAAAATACTATTATTCTCCCACAATTGGCACGCTTTTCAGCATATATATTTTTTATTGCAATAATATTTTAAAACTATTTTAAAGTTAAAAATGGACCAATCTTAACCCTTCAACGTTTAAATTAATAAATGAATATGAAATAGTATAAGTGTGACACTAAAAAAAAATATTAAAGTTGCGGGGTGAATATGTCAGATGTTATTCACCCTGCAATGCAGAAATTTAATAAAAAAATATATATTGTTTTTCATTTTGCAACTGATGATGGAAATTTTAAATTTTTTAAAAAGTAAGTTACGAGATGAAAAACACGATGTAACATTTTTTAAGAAAAATTGGTGGAAAATTAAAAGGCTTAAATAATGAGGCGTTAGTGACACATGTTATCCGATCTGACTTAATCAGACATTGCGGGATGGATTTCACGCCCAATGCTTTTATCTGACACAGACGTTGCGGGATGGAAATCACGCCGCAATTCCCAACAGCTTTAAATGTTGAGGGATGAATTTCATGCCGCAAACTTCCTATATAATTTAACTGATTCGCCTTCTTCCCCACATTCCAGAAACCACTAACTTTACTCTTTAAAAATCTCTCATTCTCTTCAACACAAACCCCTCGTCTTTAAATCAAAAAACTCTCTCAAAATTTTCATCTTTAACACAAATCAATATCAAATGTCTATACAATAAATTTTCGAAGACATTTCTATTGATGTTGTTAGGTGAATCTGAATGTTTTTTCAAGATTTTCTTCAAACACATTTGTTAAGATAGACATATGAAGTTAATCTTATTCTTATTTTTTATTGGATTGCATGAGTTGATGTGGATATAGTTTTTCTTTTTAAGTTTGTATAATAAAACTAGGGATGATTTAATTTGTGTATAATATGTTAGAAATCATTTGTGATAAAACTTTGTTGTGAATCGGATGTCTTCAAATAAAATATAAACGGTTTCTTTATGACCAAGAAACACACAAGGGTTAGGGTTAACAAAGAAATCAAGGTAAAACAACAAGGAACAACAAGGATTGGTTATAAACTGCTATTCTTTCCTTACTCTTAGAACAAGATTACAAGTATACAAGAATAACAAAATAACCTCTCTCTCTCTTGAAATTAGGATTTTATCTTCCTATTTTTCCTTATGCCAAGATTAAGAAACTAGCATTATATTTATAAGAAAAAATAGCACACTAACCTAATGGGTTTTTTAACAATTACCCATTACAAGCTAACTTAAACAATTGGGCTTACAAGCAAGGCCCAATTCAACATACTAACAACCATAGCAATATTGACTAATGCATGTTAGAACAAACTTCGACTACAACACACATTACTCCAACAGCAGCATGAGAACATACTTCGACCTCATGCTTAATTCTTGTCGAACCAGAAGCTACCCTTCGACCATACTAGAGTTCGATCCAACATCTCACAAATCTCTACCTTATATCTAACTCTATACCATCAAGAAACTAGCTTTCTTCATGCAGCTTTATCAACTGCATACAGTGGAAAAACTTGCAACTGGGCAACGTCTTGGTGATCATATTAGCAGCATTATGATTTGTCGAAACCTTCAGCACTTGGACTTCTCCACGCTTGATTACCCCTTTGACGAAATGCAGCCTCACATCAATGTGCTTGGTTTTCTCATGATATGTTGAATTCTTCGACATGTGTATTGCACTTTGACTATCACATTTAACAGTGATAACTCGATCTTGAAGTTTTAGCTCTTTTGCAAAACCTTCAAGCCACAATACTTCCTTCACAGCTTCAATCAGTGCAATATATTCCGCTTCAGTGGTTGATAAGGCAACGACCTTCTGAAGTGTAGCTTTCCAAATTATTGTTGTCCCAAACATAGTGAAAACATATCCAAAAATAGATTTTCTAGAATCCATACAACCTGCATAATCAGAGTCGACATATCCTTCGATTGCTGCTTTACTATCGTCACCCAAGGCTCCACCATAAATTAGGACTCTATTCATAGACCCATTTATGTACCTTATAATCCACTTCAATGCTTGCCAGTGATTCTTTCCAAGATTCTGCTTATAAGACTTACTGCATATGCTATGTCAGGTCTAGCATAGACCATGGCATACAT